GGCAATGGTCTGGCCTCAATGCTGCGAGGCCAGGCCAGACCCTGAACCGTCCAGATGGACGGTTCAGCCTCAATCGGCGGGTGGCAGCTTCAAGAGCGCCGCCAGGCCCAAACGAAGTGTCGTTTGGGCCTACCCGATGGGTGATAGTCCAAAAGCAGGCCTTTAGGGCCTGTAACCCCAAAGGTCGGGCCTTTAGGCCCTGGTGTGTCCCTCCGGCCCTAAGTCGGGTCCGGTAGGACCCGTGTGAGTCGAAGATGTAACACGACTACTATAGGTATTAATAGTTGAACAGTGTACCGAGTGTAGGAAATAAGTCCTTTCAAACGTCATATCGTAGGCGTAGCGTGTGTAGGGCGTATCCGCGTCTCTCGCGCGTGTACGTACTTGGGAATGTCGAGGTGCTGTGACTCTGGATTTTTCTGTCGGCATTTTCCATGTACGAGTTTGCGATTGATGAACGGAATGTTTTTTCTTGTCACTGTGTTCATGTTCGAGTGAACAGCCATGTTGCATGCATGAGTGGAATGCTGCACCAATTCACTTACCTGGTCCTCGCACAGCCGGGCCGCCCGGGAAACACAAGGTGACCCGGGCGGCCCCGCCTGGTTATTCTGTTCGATGATTAGCACGGATGATCGGGCAGGGTTTGTTTCAGCGAGCGATGATTAGCACGGATGATCGGACAGTGTGTTGTGCGTGTTGTTTTCTAGGATTGTTGTCCTGCTTTGGTTTTTGTTTTTGTTCTCCAGGCTATACCAATACACTTGTTTTCTAGGGTACCGGCTGCTAAATTGCTAATGCGTTGAATGTCTGTGGTATTTCTTGGCTCAGACTTCGTAGAAGGAACCTTAGGAGCAAGGACCGTTTTGTGTGACTGTTGGGCCCGAGCCTCGAACTCGGCACTGGGTAGATATTGTCGCAGTGGTACCTGGGCTGGTCCTGGACTGACTGGGACCGGTTTCCGGTACTCGTCTTTGCTGTCTGTTTGGTCCTGTTAGGTTGGCTTGTCGGTCCTTGCTCCTATAAGTACGGGAATGTACAATTTGTGAATCCCCTTACGTAACCCGTGAGCGCTAATCTTGATTAAGCTTTAGCGGTAGCGTATGTGGGGAAGTGGAATGACTGGAGGTTCTTGGGGAAGTGGTTTGCGAGTTGAAGTCGTAATATTTTACGGTTGTACTTTGTCAATTTCCTTGTCTTTTGACTGGCGGTTGACGCACTGTGTGTGTATGCGTGTGTGTTGCTTTTCCTTCTGACGCACTTTTGACACAGCCTAGAGCAACAGGATATTCTTTCTCTTTCTCTTTTTCTTTTTTTAACAAACAACCGGATACTCAGCCTAGTGGGTTTCCGTCCGTGACGGCACCCATCAAACGGTTTTCACATTTACGGTAGCAGATGCAGTACCCAGGGCTCGATCCCTAGACCTTACCCTTACCCGTTTACAGTACCGGTTGACCCGTGTGTGTGTTTGAACGAGTGACCTGTGTTTTGAATGCCGTCTGCTTAGCTGTTGTAGGTAGCGTGGTCGTCGGGTCTTGAACCATAGGTCTGTGGTCTAGGTCGTAGCTGCTGCAGTGTCGAGGAGTCGAGGCCGTAGCTGCTACAGTATCAAAGGGTCAAGTCTACGGCCTTCTGGAACTTTCGGAAGTGGCCGTTCGTAGGTCCTAGAGTCAGTGATAGATTTGAGTCAGCAGAGGGCAGTACTAGCACAGTCAGCAAAGGTCAGTCCTAGACCTACTCAGTCCAGTCAGCGGTACCCGGTCCCAAGGTGCACTTTGTCCAGTCAGCAAGTACCATGTCCATGTGGGACT